TCTTATCTTAGCCTGAGTCTCTTCCTCTAGATGTCTTGCTCAAATCTTTGTTTAAATGGTTTTTAATAAATAGCTTCTCTTTTTAAATTTTATATATATATATATATATATATATATATATATATATATATATATTGTGATGGTTTGAATAGGAATGGTCCCCATAGGGGAGTAGAACCGTTTTAAAGGATTAGAATGATTAGGTGTGGCTTTGTTGGAGAAAGTGTATTACTGGGGGTGCCTGTGAGGTTTCAAAAGGCCAGGCCAGGTCAGGTCCAGCCTCTCTTGGTCTCTGCCTGTTGCCTGCAGATCAGGATATAAAGCTTAGGTATTGCTCCTGCACCACCCCTTTCTGCTTCCCACCATGATAATCATGGACTAACCCTCTGAACTGTAAGCAAGCCTCCAATCAAATGCTTTCATTTATGAGTTGCCTTGATCATTGTATCTCTTCATAGCAAAAGAACAGTGACTAAGACATGGCTTTGTGCATGTGTGTGTGTACATGGACATGTGTATACATGTGTGCCAGTGTTCACGCAGAGGACAGGACATCTTGCAGAAAGCTGCTTTCTGCTTCCATCATGAGTCTCAGTATCAAGTCATCAGACCTGGAGCCAAGTACCTTTCCTCCTTTCCCATTTTTCCAGACCTGTGGATCTTTACTGAGAAATTGACATTTGAGGTTTCTGGCATGACTTTTCTTCCTGAGCATCTTTCTGCTGTACACTGCCAAAAGTTGTCACTCGAACTGGTTTAATAAAATGCTGTTTGGCCAGCAGAGGAAAAATATAGATGGCACAGTCAAACTAAGAATTCAGGTAGGAAGAAGGCCAGAATGTGGTGATATATTATTTATGACTTCCTAACACTTGACTGAAGAACAGAGGCAAAGCAGACGAGCCAGTAGATCTTAACTCTACCAAGCTGAAATGGCAGTCTGGTACCCATGAATCCTGAGAGGCAAAAGCTCGCAGTTCTTGTCTCCTCCTCTTTCTCAGCCCAACCATATCCTCCTGTCTCTGCCTCCTTAGTACAGGGATTAAAGGTGTGTGATCCCAAGTTATGAGATCAAAAGTGTAAGCTCTGTTACTTTTTGCTCTTGTGTAGGCCTTGAACTCAGAGAAATCCCTCTGTCTTCTGAGTCCTGGGATTAAAGGTGTGCATCACAGGCTGGGCTGGAGAGATGGCTCAGCCTTTAAAGGCTAGGCTCACAACCAAAAATATAAGAGATCAGTTCCCATCACCCACAGCTGTCTCTCCAGCTACCAAAGAAAGTGTACCACCACTGGCAGACATCTATAGCTTGTGGCTAGCTTTGCTTTCTGAATCCTCAGGCAAGCTTTATTAAATCATAAATACCACAATTATCACCACAGCAGAGTTCAAGCAACGTGGCAAATAGGTAAGAATTATATGTTAATGTAAATGTAAGAGTTAGGCAGTAACAAGCTTGAGCTATTACCGGCCATGCATTTAAGTTTCCTTGTAAGTTATTTGGAAAGTGTCTTCTTGTTATTTGGGAGCAGGAAGTTGGAAATGGAAAACTCTGCCTTAATTGTTCTATTTTTAATGAACACCTCACTCTTTTGTTTCGTGCTGGCCTGTCTTAGAATTCTTTTCTATGTTGAAGCTACAAATCTTGCCTAAGTCATGGTTCCAGTATGAGGTCACTGAGAAGTGTGGAGCTGTGTCTGTTCCAGTCACTGATATCCCCACTTGTGCTGTTTCTGACCCTGCAGCCTGGAAATCCTCATTGTTGAAACCACCACTGTAGCCACAGGCCTCCTTATTGCCCAGACTTCAAAGCCAGGACGGCTTTTCTCCTGGATCTCTTCCAGGATCTCCAAGAGTTTGGGCATGAGCTCAGTGCCTAGGTACAGGAAGGAGGCCTTGTGGTTCAGTTCTGAAACCAAACACCAATGTGATCCTCCACTTATGACAACAGAAATTTCCCCCCCCACCTGATAAGGTAGTTTTTTGAGGGCTTACAAAGTACCATCTGCTACTTGGTGCTTTACTTCATTAATGTTATAGTAATCCATCTCTAGTAATCCAGACAGTACTGTTTTGTTGGTTATTTTGTTCGGTTTTTTGTTTTTGTTTTTGTTTGTTTTTTTTTTTTTTTTGTCATTGAAACAGCATCTCATTATTTGTAGCTGGACTGGAACTCCTACACAGGCCAGGCTTACATGAAACTTCTGGCAAGGCTCCTGTCTGTCTCAGAGGGGAGAAGTGCACTACTAAGTATGGCCAGCCACCCCTCTCCCTTCTCTGTTCATCACTGCATCTAGCTCTTGGGAGACTAACCAACAAACATTATACAGCCTGGGGATGTAACTCAGTGGCAAAGAACATGGCTAAGCATGGACAAGGTCTTGGGCTACATAAAGCTCCACACCAATCCTAAAAGCCATAGCAAACACTTGTCAATATTTTTGCCATACAGTATTTCTGTGTGGCACCTGGCTGTTTTAAACTCATTCTGTAAACCAGGCTATCCTCAAACTCAGAGATGCTGGAATTAAAAGCATGTGCCACAACTCAGAACTGTATGTTTTTAGGAACAGTCAAGCTGAATTGTGGCACATGCCTGTGATCTGGACACCTGAGAGGTGGTGGAAGCAGGAGGATCAGGAGTTCAAAGTCAACCTTGGCTTCATACAATTGGAGTTGAGCCTGGACTACATGACATTCAACACACACACACACACACACACAAAACACACCAGACAGAAATAATCATCAGGTCTGTGGTCCCAGCTATTCAGGAGGCTGATGTCAAAGGATCCCAAGTTCATAGTACGCAGGGCTACTAAATGAGTCACCTGTTTAAGGCCATCCTAGGCTACAAAAGTGACTACCTAAAAAACAAACAAAAATGAACTAGTCACCATGGAGATTGGTATGTGATGTGAGAAAACTTTCCTGGTTTTTTGGCCTCAAGCAATTTAGGGTTGGCATTTCCTGAACACTGTGGACCCAATCACAAATGTTTTATCTGTTGTAATTTCCCAGTAGAGGGAAAAGAAAACAATTCCCTTAGGGGAGGTCGGTCCCATCACAAAGTTTTCTCTTTAATAGCTTTCATATTTGGATGTTTTGCCTGCATGCATCTGTATAGTACATGTGCATGGTCATTAGAGGAAAGAAGGCACTGGGATTCTTGGGGACCAGAGTTACCATTTTGAGTGACCATATGGGTACTAAGAACCTGGGTTCTATGCACTGTTAATTACTGAATCATTTCTCCAGTGTTTCAGGGAGGAGGATGTACCTGTGAGTGCAGGTACCCAAGCAAAGCAGAAGAGGCAGAAGAGGTTAGGCCCCTGGAGGTGGTTACTGGCAGTAGTAAGCTACCAGGTACGGATACTGAGAATTGAACCCATGTCGCCAGCTAGATCAGCACATGCTGTTGTCTGCTGACCCATCTCTCCAGCCCCTCACAAAGTTTCCTTTGCTTGGTATTTTACATTTATTTATATACAATGGGGGAGGAGCGTGGGACTGTGCCATGTATGTGTGTAGATCAAAGAAATTGATCTCAGGTAGTCAAGCTAAGCAAGTGTCCATACCCACTGAGCCATTTTGCTGGCCCACAAGGATTAAAAAACATATTTTGGTCTGGAGAGATGGCTCAGTGGTTAAGAACACTAGCTGGTCCTGAATTCATTTCCCAGCACCCACTTGGTGGCTCAAACATTTGAATTGGTGTTCTTTTCTGACCTGAAGGGATACATGCAGACAAAATACTATAGACATAATAGATCTTTAAAAAAATTATTTTGTATTATTGTTTTTTTTTGGGGGGGGGGCATTGTTTTTGCCTGCCTCTGGATGTTCTTCCAGAGAACCCAAGTTCAAATCCCAGCACCCATATGGCAGCTGATAGACACCCTCTTCTGTGTACCATGTGCCTGGCAAAAAACTCACACACCATAAAATACAACTAGTTTTTTTTAAGTCTTTCTGAATTCAAGCAGATCAGGTGCTAAGTACAACCTGGTTATCCTGGGTTTTCGTTTGGGCCATTATTATGGGCCTCGTCTGCATGTTTTTTTCCTTCCTCTCTTTTTTATTGTCCAGACTGGAAGGATGTGCTTTACTGCTAGCTGTCCTCTTGATCTTCCTTGACTCTTCCCACAGGTAGAGGATCTGAATTACAGAAGGGGCTCTGCTTTGGTCAATTATAGCAAATTAATGCCATATGTAACAATCAATGATTGAAGACCAGACAATTTTTACAGATAAACTTAAATTGGCCATTATACTAACTTTCATAATTATGATAATTAATAAAGAATGCTTCAAGTGTGAATATTTATTTTTGCCATGGTTTTCTTATTGTTAAGATCATGTGATTCATCATGTTAAGGTTTTACTCACAATGTAGCCCAGGCTCTCCTAGACCTCACATTGAGGCACCGGCTGTGGGATTAATGATTTGGGATAGTATAAAACCTGGCAATAGACCAAGCTCCATGATATATTTCTCCTTGCATGGTAGCACATATTAGCAGATGAAACACAGGAAATTATAGGGAAATACAATTTTAATCCAACAGAAAGGTAAACTCTAGGCATCTATTATATTTCTGCCTAAAACTTAACAGGAGACAACCTGTTGAAACAAGGCAGCTTCCCCACACTTGTGACACCATTCCAGTTACAAAAACAAAACAAACCTTTAATGAAATTATTAACCATGAAAATAGAAGTCTGAGTCATAAAAAGGTGTATAAAAATCCCCCAAATGTGTCAAGGCTGTCCTTTTTCCACAAAATAGCACCAGTAATTAGAGTAAAAGGTGTTTAAAAAAAAAATCCACTGTGACAGCATTTCTGAAATGCAGCTTCCCTCATCTTCAGTGATGCCCTAAAAAAGAATGCCCCTTAAAAAGACAATATGTCATAGGGTAAAAAGGGGTTAAAAATCTCCAGAAGATCCAAATTTCTCACTATGGTTTCCCCATCATCTCTTAGATAGGGGGAAATAATGTACTTCCAGCCCTAGCTTCTCATAAAGCATTAGAGGACCATACTTTTCTGGGGACCTGAGCTGATGGAGAAGGGGGGAGGGGTTCCATCATTTGGAAAGAGGGTGTGGCAAATAGATTAGCTAAACTCCCTCCTTCATGTCCCTCACACATGGAAAAGGGGCCAACCTCCCCCTTCCTGAGCTCAAAACATTCTATCTATTCCAGTCTTCTTGAGGATTAGCTACATGGGCCCTTGCCCAGGGAAATCTTGGGGGAAATATCCCTGAATGTGATGATGACATCATCCCTGCTGACATCATCATCGTGGGAAATGCTACAAGACCAACAGGACTCCAGCCCTTGTACCACACAAGGGAAAGGTGCCAGTAAGAATTACGTCATAAACTTCACCTTTTCATCTTCTACTATCCCTAGGGAAAAGTTAAAAAAAAAAAATTCTGGCCCCTTGACCTTGTTGATCTGAGCCCACATTTGCTAGCATCCTCTAGCAAATATGGAGACAGGTTACTTAAAAACAAAATCAAGTGATTTTGCAGCATTACCCTGAGTACTGGGAGAGCCCTCGTTTTGGTATGTTAGCCATCACTTCTGACTGATTAACCCAGGCGGGGAAAAAAGCCATCTTACTATCTACTTCAAGTTTTAAAGTTTCAGGATAAGAAAACATGAGCACCATTATTGGGCTACTCTAAGCAGCCAGTTCTGAGTTGTGCACATGATGGGAGCACCTTGGCTCCCCTGCAAGGGCCAGGAGGCTCTGCTCCCACTGAGCAGGAGAAAGCTGAGGTACACAGTGAGGTGAGGCCCCAAACAGGTGAGCTAAGAAAGGGGTGAGGTGAGATGCCTTCAGGGAGGGGTGGCTCTGGGGACCTGGCTCAGACCAAAAGTACCCCAGTCCTGGGTAGAACTATTCACATGCAAAGTAGTCCTTCAAGGGGGCAAAGAGGTGTCTGATGACTGGCACACTCCAGGACCTTCCCAGCAGCTTCTGGCGGGCACCACGGCCCATGTTGGACACATCCGTGTAGTGTGCAGGAAAGCCGAAGATCCTGAGTACAAAGCAAAATGACACGTGGTTAGAGAAGGGCCCATGCTCCCAGCACATGTAGATCAGCTGTGTTCTGGAAGTCCAGGCCTAGGAAAGCCATGAGGCTTCAGTCAGGACCATTGGGCTCAAAGGAACCTTCTAGACCACCAGTTCAGTTGTTAGCTCACTGGTTGTTATCCACACTGGGACTGTGCTCCTTATATACCACGCAAGGATGCTTCTTAAATTAACCCATAAATTAGCTCAGTCAGCCAGCAGACATGTATCTAGGACCACTCTTAAATGCATAGCGTGAAATGGTCTATGAATGATCTCCAGTCATAGATTTGGCTTGAAAACATGAGCAGTCAAGCATTTGTTTTCAGGGGGAAGAAACAAAAAAAAGATTTTAAATGACAAATACAGAGGCCTCACAAGATGCCAGCTCTTTGATAGCCAATTGAGCATATGTCCACACACAGCACTCTCTCAAAATGTGAGAGAAAAATAATTCCAGAGCTTGCCCAAGGTACTTAATCGGAATGCTGAAGAAGATAAAGACAGAAGCTCAGTATTAACAGGCTTTTGAAAGCTGTGGAGTTACCTGTAGGAATTCAACACTCCAAGGCCAGACCGTGCTACTCCAGGCATCTAACAAAGTACCAATCATACCTCAAAAACCACTTTAAACTTTCAAATTCCAGAACAGGCTGTACACCATGAACATAATAACAGTGTCCCCAACCTGTGGCCTAGAAACCTTTGCAGAAGAGGGTACTGACACTGTTAAGAGCCCAAAGAGGTTGATAATATCCTGACACTGTTACCACACAAAAAAAGGGGGCAGAGGCACACATGAACTCATAGTATTATGATGGCATGCAAGAGGCCAGTTCAAGATCCTACCATACAGTGGGGGAAGGTAGGAATTTAAGTATTAGGGAAGGGGTAAATATGCTCAAAATTGAAAAAGAACTTACTGGTAAAAACTATGGCCATGGTGACTCACATTTTTAGGCATGGGAGTGCCTAGATTATAGTGAGTCACTGATGAGCCAGGAGATTAGAAAAGAAACGAAATATGGAATTATTAACTTCGTGAAATAATAAAAAATATCTGGAAAAGGGGTCAGGTAATCCTAGCACTCAGGAAGCAGAGGCAGAAGGATGTTTGTGCATTTGAGGTCAGCCTTGTCTAGAGTTTGTTCCAGGACAGCCGGTTTCAAAGAGCCAAGATAAATAAATAAAAAATAAATAAATGGGAGGATGATCTGTCTGAGTTCATGGCCATCTACATAGCCAACACTGGGACAGGCATAACTGTCTCATCTTCTCCCCCCTCCCCAAAAAGGACAACAACCAAAAATGGCACAACTGAAATCAAAGACAGGGCTGCTCTATACACCAAGAAAGAGATGAGAGAGACCGGGGAGAGAAAAAAGCACTGGAGCTGAAATCTGGGTATAAAGTCGGAGTTTCCGTAGCTCCCTCATTTAAAGCAGATTCTGGGACAGGAAAAAGGCAGGGAATGCAGACAGGCACCCACTGCCCTGCCTCTCTCATCCCATTTTCCTTTTCCTGCATTTGTTCCCATGGCTTCCCTCTCCAAGTGCAGCTCACCTTTCGAGCTCAGTACACCATAAAATATCGTCCTTGCCATTCATGACTACGGGTAAAAGCTGGTTTTTCCCCTGTCTGATGGAGTTCGACTTGGTGGTTATTGTCTGTACTTTCTTTAACTGGAGAACAAAACAACAGCGCCAAGTGAGCACGGAAGGCTTCCAAGTGGAGTCAGGCTCAGGGACATCCAGAGGGCAGAGGACAACAGGCATGAGTTTGGAGAGGTGGCAGGGACAGGCATACACAGAGAGAGGACAAAGAGACTGGAAGAGATTCTTTATGCTTCCCACAAATGCCACATACATCTTAGCCAAAAGTGACCATGAAGGATCACATGGTGGTCAAGACACCAGTCACTGATCAAGGGGGTCATTAAGAGCAAAAACCACCCAGACTCAGAATGGCCAACCACAGCTTGAGCAACAGGCCTTTGCTTCTCGCAGACATGGAGGAGCAGGCACCAGACGCCTTACTGTGCATCTGTGACTGCACAGCACACAGCCCTTTGCAACAGCATCCACCTCTGTTGCCACTGCAAAGATTGCCTGCAGCACAGCCTCTATGCCTCCAGCATTAACCACTGCAGAGCACGGCCACATTTTCTCACCGGGATTATTTACCAGGAACATCTCCTACTCTGTACTTGAAGAAGAGACAGAACAGTTCTGTGGGGAAAGAGGCCCAGCACCAGGAATCTGTGAGAGAGTGAGCAGGAGCCATGTGGATAGAGCCAAGGTCACAGTTTTCCAGAAGGTTCAGAACAGAACACTCAGCGCCTTACCTTTGCTGTCCTACTGAACTCCAAGCAGTCCTGCAGCTCGAGCTTATCATTCTTTGAAGCTATCACAGGCCTGGGAACAGCCAAAACCCGTTATTCTCCAGCATCTGCCCTGGAGGTCTAAGGTAGACCTCACAAGTCAAATGAGGAGAGAACCTAGCTTTTCAATTTAATTTTTAAAAACTGTGTCCCCTGTATGTGTAAGAACACCACATGCAGACATGGTCCTCTTAAGTGAAGAGCTTATAAGCCTCTAGACCTGAGGTTATCCAATTCTGACCTGCCACTTAGGTATTGGGAGCAGAACCAAGAGCAACAAGCGCTCTGAACTGACAGTTCCTCAGCCCCAGGATCTGCTTCCTAATTGTACTTAGGTAATGATCAAGTCACAAACATTGGATGAAAACCATCCTGGTGAGAGCACAAGGCTATGCCAAAGTACCTAAAAGCCACCCATTACCCACAGGTAGTATAGTGTTGCTACCACTGAATGACATGCATTGAGAGGGAACCAAGTCCTCTTTCTCCACTGTTCCACATAGGCAGCACTGTCACTTTGGTCTAGACTACCATGGACATCCTTACAATGAGACATGCACCGCTAGAATGAGACCTCAGAAGGCTAGTCTAGTAATAGTAAATGCCACCCTCCCATGAAAGTGACTGCTCCCTCTAAATATGACCATCTGACCAGCAGAGACATGTACCTAGAAGCCATGAACTACGGCAGCCCCATTAGAGGCCCACATACCTGAGACATCACAAAGGAAGCAGTTTAAGGAAAGAAATTACACCCAGCCCTGACAGCCTTCCAGCCACCCAATGACAAATACCATTCTTTTCCTTTTAAACTCCTTTTGTGAGTGTAAACCTGAGAGCAAGAGAAAATGAACAGAGCAAAAATCTGTGCAGATTCAAGGATCCACACAAACCATGCACACAGGTAGAGGAGCATAGGCAAGTCTAACCCCAGGTACGCCATAGTGGAGTGTCCACCAACATGGAGTTTTCAGATGTTCACAGCCCTCACAGGCACACACAGGCACAACCTAGATTTAATTCTCAGATTGACTGATGGATGATAACCCATGAGATACCAGCTACTGAAATCTGTCTCCACCTAGACCTCAAATGCTCACTCTTCTTTTACCACAAGCTTGCTGGAAAATAGTCTCCAGTTGCTGACATGAGAGGATGATCCCCACCACTGCCATCGTTTATCTTTCTGCCTTCTTCCTCTTTTCCTCCCGCTAGACAAAGTATGCGGTACCGTGTTTAGACAAAATTACTTATGCCTAAACCTGCTGTTTAGTTTCGTTCCAAGGTGTTCCCGACTTAATACTGATCTTGAAACTTCTATACAGAAAGCCAATTCAGAATCCTTTGTTCCTCACAGGATGTTCATCTTCACACAGCTGTATTCCTTCTGGGAACCCTCGTTCCCATTCCCATTTGAAAAGCTACCTTCACAGCCCTGAATATACCACCTGTCTTCCTCGATAGCTTGTCCACTCCATTAAGAGCCATCAATAGTCTGCCATGGAACAGGCAACACATCATCAATGGAAGAGTGATGTCTAGGTAAATTAGCACGGGTATTTGCATTTTCATTAGCAAGGTCTTGAAAGCAAACATAAATGAGATAAGAAGGCCCCTAGAGTGATTGCTTGTGTATAAAGTGTTGGTTCATGATTAAAGGGTGGGAAATACTATCTGAGAAAACTAGAGGGTTAAGGTTCAAAAGCCACGCTCTTACTATTTATAAAATAAATTGATTATGCATATGAAAGTATTGTCTGCATTTATTACCTCTGTGTCACATGCATACCCTCGAAAGACAAGAAAAGGGCATCAGATTCTATGGAAACAGACACTACGACCAATAATTTATACATGGGATGCCATGAACTTATTAAAACTTCTTTGTGCAGAGAGGACATCATCTTTTGGCCAAATTACAGCCTATAGAATGGGAAAATATTGTAGCAATTATATATCTAATACAGGGTTAGTATCTAGAATATATAAAGATCTACAGAATGGGAGGTAGAAGTAGTGAACTGCAACCTCAAAATCTAAACTATAAACAGCTGAGACAGACTTAAAAAATATTCAGGATTCCTAGGCAACTGAAAGTATAAGTTATAGGTGAGCAGCAGTGGCATGAGCCTTTAATCCCAGCACTTGGTAGGCAGAGGCAGACAAATCTCTATGAATTTGAAAGTAACCTGGTCTACAGAGTGAGGTCCAGGACAGCCAAGGCTAAAAGGAACCCTGTCTCCAAAGGGGAATAAAAGGAAAGAAAACTGAAAAAGACCAAAAGATTAAGGAAGAAAAGTGCCAATTATAGCAGAGATTTCATCTTACGACAGAATGGACAAGATGAATACAATTGATAGCTCATGGCAGCAAGGATGTGGACAAAGGGAAAATGTTAATTATTGCTGCTAGGCGTGTAAATTGGTTCTGGAACCATGTGCAGTATGGCACTTATTCAAGAGGTTGAAAATGATCGGACACAAGACCCAGCTATACCACTTTTGATGATATACCCAAAGGTATGTCATCCTAAACTCTAACAGAGCGACTTGCTCGCTTTTAATTTTTAATGGCCAGAAGTTAGAAACACCATAAATGTCTATAAATCAATAGGAAGTGAAAGTAATTCATTTACACACCGAAATTTTTATCTGTTAAGAAAAACAAAATAGCTGGGTGGTTGTGGCAAATGCCTTTAATCCCAGCACTAGGAAGGCAGAGTTAAGTGAGTCTCTATGATTATGGAAGGAATAAGGAAAAGAAACATACTGAGTAAAATAATCCAAACACAAAGGTCCAATATTTCTATCCTGCTTTATATGTACATAGTAGCTTTTGGGGCTTTAATACGTGTGCTACAGCACAGCAGAATTTAGGTATACAATAAGATGGAAGAATCCAAAGAAGATATAGAATATAGTGATATAGATAAAAGGAAAACTATAATAGGTGGATTAAATAGGGAATATGAATAGGGAAAAAAGATTTTTTATGGTTTGTCTGCATGTGTTACTTGCATACCATATGTATTCCTGGAGCAAGCGGGTACCAGACCATGAGTTACACAGGGCTGTGAAATGACCCAGAAGATCGCAAGGGTAGCAGGTGAGCATAAGCGCTGAGCCACCACTTCCACAGGCACCACGCTACCAGAACGACTCAGCTATGCCCACCCACTGGTCACCAAGGGCCTAGTCCAGGACCCATTTCATCTTAGGGACAGGAGAAATGCCTCTGATGTTCAATGTTTGCAATAGCAGACTGAGCACAGAGGAACCTTGAAAAATATTCCCCTAGAACTAGAGCAAGACAGCTGCTCTGTGCTCCCGTTATTCAGAGCACACCAAAGCCATGACCTTCTAGACAATGATTCTCAACCTTCACAATGCTTTAATCCAATTCCTCAGGCTGGAGAGATGGCCCAGTTGGTTAAGAGTGCTTGCCACTCAAGCAAAGTTGATAGTTTCCATGGACTCTTAGACACATGTAGTACACATAAATTAATGTAAAAAGGCCCAATTAACATAATACAATACTTATGGTTGTAGTGACAAAGTATTTCATTGCTACTTCCTGACGGTAGTTTTTGCTAGTTATGTAAATATCAGATACACTGTGAAAGTGTCATTGGGTGTACCCAAAAAGGGATCACTGCCCACAGATTGAGAATCAGTTGTTTAGAAAGTTGGAATGTCAGTCAGACTTTGCTGTCTATTATCTGTCAGGGCTCTTACCTATTCATCCCAGGCAGGTTGCCCCAGAAATACCGGGCCCTGTGAGCAGCAGAAACCTTGATGGCGTCAATCATCACTGGGTTACACTGCAGGAAGAGAAGGGGAAATGCTAGAGAAACCTCAAGACTTAGCTGGAGCTGTCACTCAGCCCACATTTGACCTGTCGGGTGACAAGCCTTTCTTAGCTAAAGAGGCAAGGAGACAGACCAGTTCCCACCCAGAGGTTGCCTGGAGGGTTAGGGTAAAGATGACCGAACCTGCCCAAGTTGATTCATGTGAAAATTCTGTCTGCAGAAGTTTGTACAGGCAATGTATGCAGGCCTAACCAAGGGTTCAAGAGAACTCTATCATTTAAGGCTAGATAAATGATAGAGCCAGCTGTGGTGATGCACACCTGTAATCCCCGCTCTCTAGAAGCAGAGACAGGAAGAGTAAAGGTTCAAGGAAAGCCAGTGCTACGTGAGACCATCTTCAAAAAGAAGCAGAGGCAGCGGGGTGGTTCAGGAGGATTGGGTGCTTTTATGCTGATGCCCAGAGTTTGATATCCAGAAGCCACATTGGAGAGAATGGACTCCAAAGTAATCCTGTGACCTTCAAACATGCAGCATGGCAGGTGTGCCTGTGTGCACACATACAAAAGAAAGCTTAGAAATGAAGGGAAACACACCAAGAACTGGAAAGACAAAAGCCTAGTAGTAACTGCCCCACAGACTTAAAACAGCCATTATCAGTACAAACAGAAGGTAGAAGTGCCAACTAACATGGATGGGGTGATGATCAAAAAGGCTGCCCAACCGTTCATCCTTAGATCTGGCCACACCGTCCTCTAACCAGGCAATCATTTCCGCAGCAGTGTTAGCAGTGCCTTCCCTGCCTAGGCTCCCCTGACGGTCCACTTACCGCCAAGAATCGGGAGATGTCTTTCTTGTCGTTAACCTTCATGGCCACCACATTCTCAAACATCCAGAAGAACGGACGATTGTCGCCCTCCTTGGGGCGGGTATAATTCAGCAAATGGTAGAACTCAAAGAAGAGTCTGCCGGTGCCCTCTATATTGGTTAAGAGCATTGGAAAACACAGGCAATCAGGAGCATAATCACTTCATACCTCATCTTTCCCAAAAGCAGGCGTTTTCCAAGGACACAGCAGTAAAGCCTGTACCTGCTGTGCCCTCTGGAATTCCAAACAATATAATGGGGGGGGGGGGTACACAGAACCACTCATTCTCCTCACCATACAGGCCTTTCCTGGCTGGATTGACATTGGAGAGGTCATTGCATGGACTTCCGCCAATCACCAAGTCAAAAGGGCCCCACTCATCAATCTGAGGGGAAAAAAACAAGAGTTAGGATGCACTTAAGGAAGAACTGAATCCTTGGGTTCTGGGAGTGGGGGGCAGGGGAAATCCTCAATACTAAAATCACCCTTGTCACCACTAAATGAATGACCCCAGACATCTACATGCTCATCATGTTCTAATAGAACTAAGTAATCTTGAACCATACCTCAAACTGCCCTATTTGCACTTCTTTCTGAAGTGTCCACAGGTATTCCCACCTGCAACCCGGGACCTGAGGAATGGGGCCAATATGCCTTGAGACCAGGGAAGGATCAATGTATAGAGCAAGGATAAGCAAGATGACATGAACTCCAGGAAAAATGCCACCCTCACATTTTTCTTCGTGATTTTCCTGACGTCATTCACGTATTTGATTTGGCCTTCATGCTTAACAGTTCCCACAGCGATGGACTCTGTACACACTTCAGAGGCAACGTACTTCTCCACTTTGATACCCAGCTCCTTGAGCACCAGGTACCCTGTGAGGGATCAAATAGGAATGTAAGGACAAGAGGCCAAGTGCAGAGCCATCAGCCCCACCCACGGTGTCCTCCTGAAGCGCACTGAAGAACCCCTTACTCCATCACTGTCACTTCAGGGTGTCTGTGTAGACTCAGGGACCCCAGAGCATTGACAGTGTTGGCTATGGTCATTCCTTCTATGTATGGGACATCTCATAAAAAGGGAAGGAGACCGGATTGAGGAAGGTAGTTGTTACCTAATTGACCATATACATAAGGAAAAGTTTAAAAAATGACACACATGACATTCTAGCTACTTCTCTTCTCAATTGTCGCAAGAGAGACACCTTTAGCCTGCCTAGAAGATTCTTTCATTGCCCCAACAGAGCATCCTCAGGTAAGACTCACCTGTTGCAATTCCATCAAACAGGGACAGGACTCTAATGGGCCTCCTCCTGGCTGCAGGAATTGCTGGGTACAACTTGGGTGGCTCCTGCCAGATAAGCAAAGAGTGAGGCCTCAGAGTGTCCATCTATCCTCCTGTGCTAAGAAGCATCCATGGGAACTGGTAAGAGTATTGGGCACAGGCTGACCATTCTGTCCTTAGATGGGAGGCACAGCTGCCTCCTACAGATGCACAGAGCCAGATAGATAAGGAACTTGGGTGCTAATGGCCAAGGCCTGAGAACAGAAAATGAACTCCTACATTGTGGGAGCAACTGCCCACACACTCAGACATTTCCATCCTGTTCCCTCCTCAGAAGATACTGGAAGGAAGAATTGTCTGCTAAAGGTGTAGACGAGCAAGGGCTCTCAGCCTCTGACAGGTATAGGCTCTGTGAGGTACAAATGCAGAGATGAATCTTGCTGCACATTCCCAGCTGGCCTTGACCTCACTATTTAACCCAGGCTACCCTTAAACTCATCACAAAGCTCGTGGCTCAGTCTGTGCTATGAGTCTAGCCTTTGTCACTATGCTTATTACTATTAACTTTGGGGGGCTGTTTTGACACAGGATCCCAGTAAATAAGTAGCCATGATTGGCTGGGAACTCTCTTGACTGACCAGGCTGTCTTGAACTCAGTGATAGGACTGCTGGTCTCCTACATTCTGAGATTAAAGGCCTAATCCGTGCTTTTACAGATGCACAGGATTCCAGATTCTCAGGGTCTGTAATTGTACGGGACTGTACAGAGACAGAGCCTATGGCTTACGAATTCTTCGAGGTCAGGATCAGTAGTGAAGAAGTCTTGCAGGCGCACGTTCCAATCCTTCCTGCGCCTGAGGACCCCATGGCAGCGCTGTGGAAGGCACATGTAGCAGCTCCAGGGTTCCTGCAGCTTGGCATCCTCAGCTGTCCCTGTACCCACCAGCACCTCCAGACACTCCACACAGAAGCACCTGTGCCAGAGCATCCAGAGAGAACGGGATCAGGGTTAGCAGGCCCAGTTAGTTCCGCAGGGCTTGATCCCCCTGCCTGATGCTCAGTGGGGTACAACTGAGGCGCTTGGCCATCTTGTCCAGTCTCCATGGAAGGACACTCACCTGCAGCAGCTCGTGTTGCTGCACAGAAGCAGCTCTCGGCCCTCGCAGCACACGGTGCAATAGGACTGATAGCCGTCCTCATCATACATGTAGAAGAGCTCCAGAAAACGATCCTGACCAGAGAGAAGCCCGTGAGACCTTAGACCTGACCTCAGCCAGGCCTGGCTAGCAAGCTGGCTGGGGCCCTAGCTGGTGGCCCGGGGTGCTCTTCAGCGACAGTACATGTGAGCTGATGCCTTATGGAGGGCCTTCTCTGCTGCAGCACTGTCCTGGGAAGCTGTTCAGTAGGGCCTGGAGCAGGAACTGTGCTGGGGGCCTGGCTGGGAATGGATATGGTGGGAGGAAGGGGCAGGAAGACTTACCCTGCAACTCTGACAGAGGCCACCCTCAAAGAGGGGGTGGAAGGATACAGGGTTTTTCCTACCACAGGACAAGCAGCGATCTGAGAGAAAGACACAGTGTCAGAGTTTATGGAAATCAAGAGGATAACATCTCCTTAAACATGACAGTTCTGAACCCCTGTATCAAGGACTTAGCTCTTGTAAAATGATGTGTTTGATTTAAATGTTATTAACAGAAATCAAGAAAATTGAGGTACACATCAGCAATGGGTTTGCATAGAAACAAACACAACAAAGTCTTGCACCAATGGTAACTGCAATTTGCTTTGCAGATGACATGACAAGTGCCAGTGAGGTAGCATTAATGTGCCCTCAAACTCCCAGCTCAGTTCTACCTTAAAACAATCAGCTTATTTTTAACTACTTGGGTCTAATACCAGGTCTGAATCTATTTGTTACTCAATGTGACCTTTATACCCCTGAATCTGGAAGCAAAAGTATGGGATACTCCTGGTCAGTACGGTCTACATAGTCCCACGGGAGCCAGGGCTAAGTAGAGATTCTAAGGAGGGAAGGATGGATGGATGCATGGCAGAAAGATAAGATATAAGATTTTTTTTTAAAAAAAAAAATAATAATACAGAGACTGTCCTGTTAGGAGAGAGTGGGTGACTTCTACATGGGAGCCTGTTCTGTGCCACCAGCTTTACAGGAGGAAATAATTACAGTGCTGTGCCTCTTTCATTGATGATTTTACACTTTACTTGTGTTTGTGCACAGCTGCCCTCATTCAAACTATGAAACTTAAATTTTGGGTTTCTTCCACCATTATTTGGTTTAATACTCACTCAGGGTGTGTGTGTGTGTGTGTGTGTGTGTGTGTTTGTTCACACTATATTCTTGAAGAAAGAAATTCCCATGATAAGTCAAGAGAACACTAAGTGTGTTAAGACTTTCTCCTCAAAATCATTGGACAGAATGTGTATCACTTGTCCCTGGATATCTCTTGTCCATTGCTTCTCTTCTTATTTGTTTGTTTTGAGACAGTGTTTCTTTGTATAACTTTGTAGAACAGGCTGGCATTGAAGGAAGAGAGATCTGTCTGCCTCTGACCCCTAAGTGCTGTGATTAAAGAAAGTCATGTGTCATCCCTGTCTGGCAGATTCTTCTTTTCTTGCCCTGTCCTGTATTTCCTTGTAAAAACCCATGACTGTCAAAGGTGACTTGTATTTCTGGGAAAATAATCTGAGGCCTTTACCCTCCCATGGGAAGCACATAACCCTGTACCATATTCATGAATCCTTGACATCTTTCTCAACAGGGCAATCCTAATGTTACAAACCAAGCTTTTAAAAACTATTTGTACTCAGTCTTACATGTCAAGAGACAGGGCATCTTCTTGACCTGGGATTGTAGGCTGTCTTACGTACATCAAGCTTGGCTTTTTCCCATGGTTTTGGCAGGATGATTGCAGATAATATTTGAGCCACCAGCACTTTACTGACATATATTACCTCCATTCAAGGACAAAATTTCTCAACTACCTCTAAGAACTAAGGAGAACGAAGTTGGGAAGGCTAATAGGAAGTTTCTTACACATTCAAAACTCCAATACGTTGGTTTTGACCCAAAATGAATGCAAAGAAAAAATAGTTACTGAACAACAACAAAGTAGTTCATGGAACGCTCAAGGTACCAATGCTGGCCAAATTGCCCACCACTACCCCTCACTCAGCTCATCCTGTTCCCTACTGTGATCTCCCAGGTCAGTAACTCCAGGGGAAAAAATCTGATTCTGTTAAACATGGGTACAGGAATAGGTCAGGATGTAGGACAAGACCCCGGGGTCTGTATTAAACCCACACAGAAAGCCAAAATCAGGCTAAGACGGGCCTGGGGCACCCCAGAAGGAAGGGCTGGGGAACAACAGTACCTTCCAGATTGACCTTGTTGTTGGTGACATCAGAAGCCATTCGTTCTGTTGAGGCAAGAGGGACAAGGTGTGAGATGAGGTGGGGATGTCTCTCCTTCCCCAGGCAGCCATGCAGCACTGTATCCCACAGCACAGTGGTCCCGAGGACCCGCTGCTCCTGGTATGCACCATGCATGGCCAGGCCTTTCAGCACACGACCCCCAAATCACCTCGGCTCTCATCATCCTCCCCTCGGTCTTTCCCACCATAGCTGTTTGTCTTGAGGCGCTTGGGTGGGGGATAGGACTCAGAAGCAGCAGAGTCATTGGTTGTGCGTCTTCGACCTTTGTTCTCTGGAAGGTAAGGAGGCAGATTTGACTGAAGGTCTAAGAGACAAGGCGGCCTAGGACAAAACCATGCTTTGCCTGGGATCCAGCTGCATCTAGAGCAGGGGACCATGATGGGTGTAGAGAACCCAGAGGGGAGCCCAGAGCAGAAGCCAATTCAGAGCTCCTCTCACCCGGGAATCAGGCCATGGGGTTTACACATCTGAATGTGTAAGAGAGTCCATCCTTCTAGAGTGAGCCCAGAGCAGTGCTGGGTCACAGCTGCAACTGAGGTTCCTACAGTGATGCACACCACAATGCCAGATAAACAATCTTATAATATTAGTTCATATGAAATTAAATTAGGTGATGTTTATCACCAATACATAAGACATCACTTAATACTAAAATATTTTCATTTATAATAATTTAGAATGGAGATCAACCATGTAATATTTCAGTTGTTCTATTACTAGAAAATCATTAAGTTATAATTTTTTAATCCTGAGTGTGACAGTACATTCCTTTAGTGACAGCATTCAGAATGCACAGACAGGAAGTTCAAGGCCACCCAAATCTACATAGAAGGTTCTACAACAGTAAGGGCTATAATAAGACCCTGTTTAAAACAAGTATTTTATTTTGGCTCACATTCTCATGTTTTTATACTGACTCATAATAGAAATGATTAAATTTGACTCATCCAACTAAGGAAAGAATTTTTTTTTTTTTTTTTTTTGGTATTCCATGACAGGTCTTCTTGGTATAGCCCTGAATGTCCTTGAATCAGCTCTATAGATCAGGCTGGCCTCAGACTAAAGAGATCAGTCTGCCTGTGACTCCTGAGTGCTAGGATTAAAGGCATGTGCCATCATGGCATGGCAAGGAAATAAAATTATAAACCCATCAAATTCCCTAAGGAGGGTATGTATAATGACACACTCTGATACCCAAGTGCAGCCTGGGGTATATAGTGAGGCCCTGTCACAAGATCAAAAACATGGCCCTTGAGATAGCTCTGTGTGTCAATGTGTTTGCAGGGTAAGTCTAACAATCTGATACCAGTCACCCAAGCATTAATTAGAGACTAAACTCTGATCTCTGTCTCCACAGAAAAATAAACACCAAAACAAAGATAAATATTTAAAAGGTAACAAAATTCAGAGAACCTTTGATGACAATGACAAAGTGACAATTTCCAGTGCTTATACATGTCATTATAATGTTAAGAAACGAGAGAAGGCGATATTCCAAAGAGTGTAGAAGGTTGGATGTGCACCCGTGGTTAGCCTGAGGATCAGTGAGGGTGGGGAGTGAGGGTGAGGGATTCACATCAGCTTAGGAGACTTGATTCTTCTCCACTGAGCACTGTAGATGCCATGAAGTTGCAGGACAGAGCAAAGAAAATAAAACTCAAAGATCGTGAGGGAATACCGTGTTTCCTGGGTTCTAAGTTCCTACTGTCTGCACGATGCACCTTCGACTTATTAACCACTTTTGCGGGAAAACAAAACAAAAACATTCCATTAGATATAGGGGCTGGCTGTTCGCTTACACCCTTCACTTCATTATGTTGAATCATATGCATATTCAGGGAAATAAGATACCTGTCAAAATGGCAGAGAGCCAAATTCACTTTATTTTTTTATTTCAAAGAAAAACTGGCCACAAAGGTAAAAGATGAATTTGGATATGTGGAAAAGATTAATTCCACTGCACATACCCATGGCAGCCATATGGCCAAGGAAGCCTGACAAGGCAGGTGATGGCCCTCAAGTTCCCAAAGTTTTAATAACAGCCCTGAGGTCCATAGGATAGAAGTAGTCCTTCCTTGAATTGACACAATGAGTGCTGAGGGTACCAGTGTGCCTGAGGTCTACACCATCAGCAGAGGTATATAGATTCATTCCCACCTGGTTGCTTGTTATTCGGCTTGAGGCCCTCGATGCCAGTGGGCTTGAAGCCCCCGTGGGCCCACTCCAGCATGGGCTTCAGCTTGTCCTCCAGGGAGTCTCCAGGGCTGCTGGGGAAGGTCTTGCCAGCTCGCACCCTGGCTTTCTGCCAAGACACAAAGGTAATGTCTATCCATGAATGGGGAGCAGGCGAATGAGGTATGTGCCAGGGTGAACTCAGGGATTCCTCCTGCTAGGGCCAGCATTCCCTAAACACTGGTGTCTTTCAGGGCTACACAGCTGTCTTGGGCTGTTATGTGACAGGTGTCTGCTTTTGAGGGACAGGTAAGGAAGCAATAGGAAGGGTGGCAGATATCTTGTCCTATAGGCACCAGTTATGTTCAGATCCCTGAAAGAGACTGATTAAACTGAGATATTAAGATGATCACTGCCATGTCCAATAGCTTATCTGAGAAGGCTACCCTTGGCTATGTCTTCTGAAGGGATGTAACAAAGAGAATCTGTACATGGCACAAAGGTGGTTAGGATTAGAGGGAGCCAGGGGTAACTATGTTAAGTCAGAGAAAACTAGCCACTGCCTCCTCTATGGTTAGAAATCTTGTGCATAGGTAGGTAAAAGGCCATTTATAATGTGACTATGTGACCGCACAAGTCATGAATCATCCTGTCTTACCTAATACCCGTATTAGCAACTTAGTGATCCCCTTATAACCAGTGAAACCCAATCCAAGGTCAGACCCTGTTTTCTTGACATTCTAGCAGGACACCTTCTACTAGATTTCTCTCAATTGGTTTCTTCTGCCCTGCCTAATGAGTGACACCCTAGATAGCACCCACACCCATGTTACCTCCAGAGTGTGGTACATGGCCTTCCTATAGGAAACCAGCTTATTGAAGGTAGGCAGGTTAAAGTGCTGGCTGAACAGCCCAAGGGCCATGAGCTTGTCAGCAGAGACCTAGGAGAGAAAAACATAACTATGATTGACCCATATCTGACATAAATGTGCACTGTGTCATCCAGGACACAGTGAAGCAGCAACTTTCAGATGCCAGAACTGAAGAAAAGGGCAAAGGAGAAATGACACACAGCTAATTTGAGCACGAGAAACGTCAGATGTGGGTAAGGAGATTTCAAGCAAAACTATATCTTCAGTGTCACGCACATGTGTACATACATGTGTGTGAACAGAATGAACGTTCCTGGTTTCAGTCCTGAAATTGTCCATGCTGTCATCTTCCTACCTGAGTGTCACTCAACCAATCAGTGAGTTCCCACTGTGCTCAGGTTGGACATAGACGTGAGTCCTTAATAGTTGCAATAACTGTAGAACTTATGTCTTAATTCCTAAAGGCATTGTTCGTTTTGTCAATGCAGAAATAAATTATGGGTGCAAAGATAAAATTGGCATGACAAGGACATGCCAGCTGTTTGATTCAACATGAGCAGAACACAGGGGTTGCTAAATAGGCCCTGGTTGCCTTTTGCCATACCATGGCACATTGTAAGACCATCCCACAATCCTATCATCTCCATGCTACCTCTTATTGTCACCTGAGCCTGTCTAAAATGAGTACATTGTCTCACTGGATCAAATCAATAGCAAATATCCCTGTGGTTTGATGCATAGACCCAAGTCACAATTCCTCCTGCTCCCTCTGCTGTTGAGACAGGACAACTGCATGTAACCTCTCAGAACAATCTCCATGTTCCATTGTTGTTCCCCACGGAAATGTAGGATATACTTCAGGAAAAGCCACAGAAATCCGGAATGAAAACTTGAAGTGGAGTGGTCCCAAATGCCATGTCACTCTGACCCCTCCTGTCTGTGGCTGGGAATTGGCCTAACACTGATTAACATTTCTAAGGAAACCCCAGGAGATCCACTCTGCAGCCCTGCAAGCCAAACCAGAAACAATTCCAAGAGCATAGTGGTTGCTCCTCTAGAGGCTTGGGTTAGATTCCCAGCACCCAGATAGTAGCTCATTACTGTCACCAAGTCCAGAGTCAAGATCCATGGGATCTGAATATCTGAAATCCCTCTTCTGAACTCCAGTGATGTACAGAAATACATGCAGAGAAATAACCATACAGTTTTAAAAAAAAATCTCAGAACATGTGTTTAACAGGCGAGTCAAATGGGGACTAACAGGATGGGAGAACCTGCCTAGCAAATGTGAGGTACTTGGATCCACAGCACTTCAAAGACAAATCTATGCTGAGAATATCCTTATTATAAATATTAATTTTAAATGCTCATTCTTTTCAAATTTAGAAGCTCATACTGCCTTTTGTTTTTATTGAGATGGGGCTTCACTGTGTAGACAAGGTGTATCCAAGGTATTTTTCACAACACCAATTGTGTGTGTGTGTGTGTGTGTGTGTGTGTGTGTGTGTGTGTGTGTGTGCGCGCGTGCAGGGGGGATACACAGAGGCCATCACAGGACATCAGAACCCTGGCACTGGAGTGACAGACAGATGTGGGCAATTACCTCTGTAAATGCTACACCATTTCCTTGCTTTCCAGTAGACAAGTGACAGGTATGGCTGCGCACACTTTTGAGTCCCATACCTCAGGAGGCAGAGGCAGGCAGATATGAGTTCAAAGCCAGCCTATTGTACATACTGATATACTGAGTTACACTGAGACCCTATCTCTAAGAAAAAAAATAAGCAGCTTATCTCTGATCCTACAAGCAGGCATCTAAGACTTGATGACTTTTCTTACTCCAGTCCCTGCACCAAACTTACTGCATCCTCGTACCAAAAGCTGACCTCAGAGCCACCCCAAGAGGAGAAACAAGGCCTCAGGCATGAAGGGCCCACCTTGCCATGGACTCACCTCAGAAAACTTGCCGTCACCAAACCACTGTACCCATCGCATGCCAGGCATGGCCTGGCGCTTGGAGGTGGCTTTCCAGGACACCACCATGGCAGGCCACCAGGAGAAGCCCTTGATTTTTCCCCACACAAGATCACCGATTCCAAACTCTTTATCATCCTGGAAAAAGAACCAACAGAAAGAAAACAGTCATCAAGGCAGGTGACCCTAAGAAATTCCCCTGGCTTAGGACAAGAAAAAACTGTTGGCCATACAATGTGATGCATGAGTTTGAGAAATAGCTCAATGGCACATACAAAAAGGTGCCCAGGAAAAATAAGTAGTTTTTAGTTTTGTCTTTTTTTTACAACTCTTAGTGTCTGGAGGTGTGTCCATATTTGACTGTATGCAGACACACACGTGTGTATCATCATTTTAGACGTCTGTCCTCCCCGACATTGAACTCAGGTGAGGCTTGGTGCCAAGTGTCTTTTACCACTGAGCCAGCTTACCAGCCTGAAAAATAAGTTATGAAAGCATAAAGAAGCCCATGGTCACACCTGAGTACATGTTCCTTGGGATAACGGCTTCTTCCTAAAGGACTGAACTGTAACTTTGCTTCACAAAAAAAGAAGCATCACACAGGACTACCTCAGAAGTTATTCTGAAGCAACACAAAATTTGGCTTTGCCTAGGTGCATACATCCACATGTAGGAAATATCAGTCTCAATCCATTAAATACACTCCAGCTCCTCAATACACACAGTGTGAGAGCAAACTATTGCAAACCCACTTTACATGCCTGAACAGGATCAAAATTTCTGTCATAAATTAATGTCATAAATATAACTTGTTTGCTTGCTTGCTTGTCTCATTATATAGCACTAACATGGAACTTCTATGTAGATCATGATTGCCTCTGCCTCATGGGTTTTATGATTAAGTATGTATGCTATAAAACCATCTTTTTTAAACCACAGAAATAAAATACCAATTGGTTGTGGCACACACCATTAATCCCAGCACCTGACTGAGAAGCAGAGACAGGAGGATCTCTGAGTTTGAGGCCTGGCTGGTTCTAAGACAGCCAGGGCTGTTAAAAAGAGAAACCCTATCTCAGAAAAACAAAAGGAGACAAGGGGGCCTCCTTATGTTTTCTTTCCCCTGTATTTTGGGTCTTGTGCAATCTGGGACAAAAATCCCTTCTCAATGGTACCTGGTACTCGGGGCTGTCTCCATCTTTGCTCTCTCCATCTAGCTGTGTGGTATCCATGCTCTCCTGGCTCCAGTCAGTGGATGGGGTACTGCTCCTCTGAGGCGTCCCTTCTTCTTCTGTGAGGTCAATACTGCGGTAACTCGCAGGGGATGACCACGGTGTGCTTGCTGAAGATGAGGCTCGTCTTCTCCGAGACTAGATAGAAAGACAAGACTGAGACCTAATGAAGCAAAGCAGAAGGAGGTGCACAGATAGTATCTCTCAAATGGTCCCCAGAACCAAGAATGAAAGAGTAAACCAGCACCCCAGAAGACAGGGTTACAGTGACAGGCACTGGCAGCCTAGAAGAGACAATAGTGTGAGCAATGACAGGTAATGATCAGACTCTGAGCTGACCCAGAGAGGGTGGGGTCTCTGGGTAACTGGCTCCTGTGCATCTGGAAAAAGAAGTAGAATGTGTTGGGCCTGCTGGGATTGGCTCAAGACAGCAGGTAAAGGCAAAAGAAACATGCATGGTAGACACCAGTGGCTTTCAGCTCATCTCCAAGCTGGGCCAGAGACCGAAGCAATTGGGAACTCTTGACTCCTCAAAGTAGTGCTAAGCACAATGAGTCAGGAAAGAAAGATGCGAGATCCTGGAAAGCAGGTACACGTGGAGAAAGCACAGGTTATATGCACACATTGGCCAGTGTTGTGCAGATGAGGGAAGCAGATCTTTCAGAGACAGGACCAACCCTGGTAGCTGGGAACTCCACGGGGTACTCCTGCACACGGTGGCGGCCCTGGCGGCCTCGCGTGATTCTGGGGGAGGCTCTTTGCCTCTCCAGGCTGGAGGTACTGTTGTTATTTCGGGTTCGCACCTGAAAGTAAGAAAGAATAAACACCAGGCCTTAGGTGACTGGGCACAGGGTTCCAATGAAGGCTCCCAAAAGGATTGGGCCTTGAGGTAGCCTCAAGTCAACCTGAAGTGAAGAAGACAATTGGATATAAACTCAGGGATCCCTTTAACAAAGGTATATCTTTAAAGGGGACAATCACACTGGCCCAGGTCACAACAATGATTTGACCCCCTGAATTGGAAGCAGCAAATGGAGAATAAGCAATTGTTTACCTTAAAAGCTCAATTCACTCAGAATGGTGTGCACTTGCCTGTTGCTGCCACTTATTACAATTCTATTCAACTGATGGTTAATCACGTGTGGCATCACGTGCTTGTAATTCCATCATTTCAGAGACTGACTTCAGATACAAGTTCAGCTTAAAAGCAGAGTTGTTATAACTGGAATCTTCTATGTGTAAGATGAGGAGAATACAAATTCACAGAAGCTGATATTATTATAGTAGATGCCATGCTCTGAACTGACCCTATTGAGACTTTCCACTTCAGTAACTCTTCGCCTGTTTTTTTGTTGTGACTGATGTTTGTTTTGTTTTGTTACAGATACAGTATTATTGCTCCCCAGTCCCTGTATAAACTCACTATATATCAGCCTAGTCAATGTTTTCTTAGGCCAAGGCATACACTTATAGAAGAAAATGACTCACATAAGCCACAGGGAACTGAGTCAACCACCCAGGAAACTACAAATCAATCACAGTAGTCACAAACAAACTTGTTATCTCTCACGGGAAAGAAATGACACGCTGAATGAATAAGATACCAGCAATGACTAGGGTTAGCAGATGTTTTCTAAAGGTCAAATCATATGAGAGTTGTGAACCGCAGCCCCACACATAGCCAGGTAGGTGTGATAGTGCATGCCTACAATTTGTAACTACAAAGGCATGTCAGAGGACTACATTTAAGGTCATGATGCATGCTCTGAAGACTGGCCCTGCCAGTGACTTAAGAGACTTGCCAAAATCTTGCCAATCCTTTATTTTGGACCCCAGAGTCTACATGCTGAAAGATTACCAACTCTCATAAGCTGTCCAGTGACCTACACATATCCAACCCACATAAAATCAAATGTGTCCAAAAATTTTTTTTGAATAATTGTCTAAGCCTTATTTTCTATGCAGGTCTAAGTATGTTGGGAGGTGCCCGAGTCAGCAGGTAGGACTTACAGCTGGACTTTCAGAGGGTGACCTGGTCTCCTTGGTCTCACGTGTGAGTTTTGGCATTAGTAGAATGTCTGAGCCATCCCCATCTTCTGCCTCCCCATCTCCGGCCAAGTCCTATGGTAAGGAAAAAAAAAATATACAGAAACATTCTTACATTGACATTACCCTAGGAGTCCAAAATACAACCTATAATCAAGTTTTTCTCTAGTGAAATTTCAATCCTGCCAATCACATGTTCACAAGTTCAAAATGGCTTGAAAACATAAATCCCAGGCCATCAGCAAGTTATGGAAATGAGACTAATGCAGACCAGGCATCCTCAACGTATTCACAACACACATGAGAGGACATGAGACAAGGGGTTTGCTGAGGCTACCCTGGTTTACAGTGACATCCCAGCCATCCAGATACTTTCTCAAACAAGCCAAACGCCAAACACACCACGGCCAAGGTAAACTTTTGCTCTATTTGAATACTGATTACAGACAGGAAGAGTCAGACTTTCCGGTGGAGAATTCCATTTGTCTTGTTTCTCAAGCAATCAGCACTAAGGGAAAGGTATAAAACCAAATGAAGAGAAGAGATGATGGTACCTGAGTGTAACTCAGCAGGTTGGAAACCTCCCTTTTTGACAGCCGTGAGCTTGATCTGCGGCCTGTAAGGAAGATTTGGGAGTCCACATTTGGGAAACAGGACAATGGTCACCACCCTGGGAGTGGCCATGCTTTAAAATGCTTCCATCCTCAACATTCCATCATTTTAGGAAGCAAGTGTACCTCATCACTTCCATGAACTCACAGGGCAAAGTGACAGGGCCTGGCTCATGCCTTCCTCTCTACAAGCTAAGCATTAACATCTAAGGAGGAAAAGAAGCCCATTCCTTCATAGTCCATTCCATGAAACTGGTTGATACTGGCTACATTTCAATTGTTCCCATTGGCCAAATAGCTCTTGGGGTAAACAGGGAAATAAGCCACTTTTATCCATTTCCTGAAAGTCCTAATAGACATCGTAGATGTCAAGGACAAGAAGGGACAATAGGAAGTCCCCAAACAGTGGGGGAGGACTACCAGGTAGATTGGGAACTTCTAAGAGGAAGAGGCAGCATCTCCTGATCATTATGAAGCAAGCCCCTATCAACTGAAGAAAACCAACATGCTGGTGCCCACAGAGACCTGTCATGAAACTTGCTATGTCAGAGCTTTGACACCCACCTCTGCTCTCTGGGGTGCTGGCTGACTCTGTGCAGATTGCCTCCAAGACAGGGGGTGAAGGAGCATCCTTAGTATCTGAGGACTGGTCACTACAGTTCCCATTGACGATGACACATTCCTCACCACCGCTGGCACCCTCTTCTTCATTCAGATGTCTGCTGTCTCCCTTCATTGTTTCCTGTTGGGAAAAAATGGGATAAGTAGAAATGGGGGCATGAAAGAGCTGTATATTCCAAGGTTCATACCACAGGTTCTCTATTCCCAGCCTAAGAGATCCCACCTAATTAATCTGAGGCTGATAGTCTATATTCCCACTAGACTCCTCTCAATAGCCTATCCGCTCACCAAATTTGGAGGCTCAGGACTTGGTTCCACAGAGCTGACTAAGGGAGCTCACTGCCCCTGATACCAGGCCCAAGAGGGGGAAGATGGTGCTAAGGCTAGGGTCTAAGGCTAGGGCTGCTCTGCAATTGGCCAGCCCTTCAAACAATGCCATTTAGGGCATGCTTGCCTGGACCTGCTTGAGACAGCCTAAGTTCCCTTCTGTCCCTGCCCAGCCTCTGCAGAGCCTCAAGAAGCCAGTGCACCCTTTTCCCTCACGGCCCCTTTGTTTGCTCTCTCTCCAGGTCTCCTTCCCTCTGCCCCTCCTCTCAGACAGGCTTCTCTCTTCTCCATAGCAGCACAAGACCCACCCCAGCCCATCCTCTGGGGCCCATTGGTCCGTTGGCCTGTCACTCATTCCCTCCCTCACCAGTCGGGGGTGAATCCCAAGTTCTAAATGGAAGGGAGGAAGGGAGGATGGAGGAGAAGCAGAGCTGTGGCAGTCACCAGGAGTGACAGCTCTGACCTGCTGTGGCCTCATGACACCTCCAGGACTTGGTCTTCCCATTGCTGTCTCTCTAGTAAGCCAGCTAAGACAGAGAGCCAGGTCCTCACTGATGGGTCCACGGGCTGTGTGACCTTTGTCCTGACTCACACAACATCGTAGACACCAATTAGGCATTTGTACATGTAAGAACCGGTACTCGTCTGAACCCTTACCCTCTAGGCCACACAGTGCTACACTGTAAGATCCTGTCTCACAGACAACTGTGAGCCCATTCTGGAATAGGGAAGTAGTACACAACGAAATACAGCATGCCCCTACAGCAAAAGCTCTGGGGAGCCCGAGGTACCATCGAAGGCAACCTGAAGCACAGAGACATGCTGCCTCCAAAGGCAAAGCATCTGAGAACGTTTCAGTACTAGTTCAGTGGATGCCTAGCACTTCAGGAACCAGAGCTGGAAGGCCAGCGCTGCAAAACATCATGAATGATATGAGTAACCCTGACTCGAAACTGTAAAAATGAATAAAGTAGAAAAATCAGGAGCAAGAGACAGATGGCTCAGGTGGACCTAATTTCAATACCCAAAGCCACTTGGAGAAACTGCATTTTCCCCTGATAAATTTGAGCTCTTGTGCACACACACAAGTAGACAAAAAAAAAAAAAAAAAAAAAAAGCATAAATGTTGGGGGTTGGAGAGATGGCTCAGTGGCTGAGTACTGGCTGTTCTTCCAAGTCCTGAGTTCAATTTACAGCACCCACATGGTGGCTCACAACCACCTGAAATGCAACCTGGAACTCTCTTCTTGCTTGCAGCCATACACACACAATACTATATACATAGTAAGTAAATAAATTTAAAAAAAAAAAAGAAAAACCTAATTTTATACCACATGGGTGGAGGAAGGGCACACCTGTATTCTCAGCACTTGGGAGGCCGAGGCAGGTGATCTCTGTGAGTTTGAGACCAGCCTGGTTTGCAAAGTAACTTCCAGGACAGACAGAGCTGTTACAGAAACCCTGTTTCAAAAAAAAACCTAAGACAAAAATTAAATTTTAAAAATTAAATAGAAAAACAGATAGGAATATTGCTAGGTTAATAGAAGATTTACATAACCAAACCCTTAGGAAATTTATCACCATGAGAAAATTAGTTATCCATAGCTGCTCACATTTGTAATTCAAGCATTTGGTAAGCTAAGTAACAATAGTTTCAAGAGTTAAAGCCAAAACTGGGCATTGGTGCCATACGAGCCAGGTAGTAGTAGCGTACACTCTTCTTTAATCCCAACACTCAGGAGCCATAGGCAGATGGATCTGAGTTCAAGACCAGCGTGGTCTACAGAGCAAGTTCCAGGACAGCCAGGAATCCACAGAGAAAGCCTGTCTTTAAAAAAAAAAAAAAAAAAAAAAAAAAGGCCTGAGCAGCATAACAAATGAATCCTACTTGAAAACTACAGGCCCAGCACTGAGACGGCAGAAGCAGGCAAATCCCTGTGATCTACACAGCAAAATCCAGGATAGCCAGGACTACATCATAAGTCCCAGATAGATAAATAATTACAAGACTGAAGAGATGGCTCTCAGGACACAGATTAATTCCCAGCACCCACATCGTGGCTCACAATCCTCTGTAACTAGTTCCAAGGGATCTAACAACTTTCAGAGGTACTATGCACATACAAATATTTATGCATGCAAAACACCCTCCAACAAAAATAAATACATCTTTTTAAATAATACAATTATAATTAGTCTAGGACTAAATATAGACAAGCATGCTCTTATACCTAAGAAATGAAATTCAAGTTTGCTTTTTCATTGTGTGGGAGACAAGTTCTACTGTTATCAAAGGATTCCTAGACAGCCCAGGCTGGCTTTGAACACCTAGCAGTCACCAGCCTCAGAAGTGTTGAGATTGGAGGCATGGACTATGTGCTTTGTGAGTCATGCTCCTTCAACTGGTGTGTGTCTACCCTTGACAGTGAAATACACTGCTACAAATCTGAGGCCTGAGAACTGGATATCCTCTCTCACGCACACACACACAAAATCAGTTATTATTTGCTTTTTCAGTTTTTGTTCTTTCTTTTGCTTGTTTCTTTGATACAGGGTCACTTGTTGCCCTGACTGACTGTCCTGAAACTCACCAGATTGTTTCAGGACTCAGATCTGCCTGACTCTTTCTCCTGAGTGTTGGAGCCTGTCCTGGTACTCGCTCTGTAGACTAGGATGGTCTTGAACTCACAAAGATCCTCCTGCTTCTGCCTCCCAAGAGCTGGGATTAAAGTTGTGTCACCAATACCCGACTCCACCAGGGTTTTAATAGTTATCAAAATCCTTGGCTAATTAATCCGCACATTAAAGAATCACGTTGTTAGACAAACAGAAAATGAGACTCCTCTGCCTGACATGGCCCACTGTGTTTGGACTTTCTCAACACAAAGATTGGCTCCCCACAGACTGGGGAAGTGTAAGTTTCTGATTTTGAACTGATATTACAGCTATCCATGCATGGCCATCAAGTTGCACCAGACCTGGATTCTCAACCCCCTCTGTTCATGCTGTACAGCCCAAGGAAGTCACTTACCACATACACTTGTGTTCAGGAATTCTGCCTAAAAAGCAGTTGCCATCTAGTTTCCGGTCTCCTTGCTCCTGTTTCAAACACTCACCATGAAAGGCTATCTACCAGGGAACTTTCTAGAAGCAGCGCCTGGTGCTTCTAGATTACATGAAGGCCTCTTGTCCACCAGGGGGCAGCGCAGTGTAGCTCAGGATGAGCAGGCCCTGTGGCACCCACAGGTGTATTCTCAATTTATTCAAGGAAGCCCATACTTGCCCAAGCATGAACATTCCACAAACCCGACATGTAGACCTCTCATTCCATCCATAGGCCAGAGCCAGTACTTTGTATTAGATATGCAAGCATTAGCTACAGTCTGCTTCTCAGGCTAAAGCTAACTACACTACACCACCAGGGTTATTTTATTTTTTGGTTTTTGAGACAAGGTTTCTGTGTGTAGCTTTGGAGCCTGTCCTGGTACTCGATCTGTAGACTAGGATGGTCTTGAACTCACAAAGATCCTCCTGCTTCTGCCTCCCAAGAGCTGGGATTAAAGTTGTGTCACCAATACCCGACTCCACCAGGGTTTTAATAGTTATCAAAATCCGTGGCTGATTAATCCGCACATTAAAGAATCACGTTGTTAGACAAACGGAAAATGAGACTCCTCTGCCTGACATGGCCCACTGTGTTTGGACTTTCTCAACACAAAGATTGGCTCCCCACAGACTGTGAAAGTGTCTGATCCAATCCCATCGAGGAACCATGACTCAGTACAACAAACTAGCTGATTGTGGACAGTTCCTGAGGCCAGGAAGGCAGACTTTCAGGACAGCTGCTGGAATGTGTTCAGAATAAGCATTTCCCCTCAGAGCATATCAGTGTCACTAAGTAATCTGAGTGGCCTGCCATGAGTGGGAGACTGAGCCCTAGTGGGTTTACTCCCTCAAGGTACAGTATGGGGGTAGGGGACAACTTTCAAAACGAGCTGGTGTGGAGAGGGAGGCCTAAGTTAAGGACATGTTGTCTCCCACAGCCTTGGACTTCAATCCCTCAGACAGGCCCTATCTGGGTCACCAGAAGCCAGACAGCAGTGTGCCTGCCCTCTTCCTACACATGTCCACGCAGACCTGCTGCCCAGAGCTGACAATGATTAACTACCTCGCACCTCCCCCAGGGCATTAGCAGTGCCTAGCAGGCCAGTGTCTGAAAGGTGGGCAGCACACCTTTCCTAAAGCACATCAGTATCCCACAAAACTGCTGCCTGGACCCACAGCCAGGCCTGGAAATGAGCTGTCATCACTGCCCATTTCCTGGGTGCCCAGGGATGAACTGTACAGGGCAACTGTCCCCTTACACATTGGGGCTGGAGATGACTCAGTTGTCAAGAGCACCTCTCTGGCAAAGCCCTACAATGTGGCTTATAAATTCCCTAAATCCAGTTACATGGTATCTGACTCCCTCTTCTAGCCTGAAATACCAGACTAACTGCACACCTTCGAGCACATAGTGAGTTCCAGCCATCCTAGTCTGTCTCCAAGTCAGACCTTGTGTAGGGGGCAGGGGAGTAGTTTGTTACATTGGATATATAACTTGGGTAGAGAACTTACTTGCCTAGCATTCAGAGCCTGGTACCACCAAAAATTAGTTCACCCTCAGGTTTGGTATGCAATGCCAGATACAAATCTTTCCCAGGTAACTCATTTTGGCTTCTGGCAATTCAAAGCCAGCATTTCCTGACTAATATGGCCCCTATCACAGGCCAACTGCTTTATCTACTGTGATTTTCCAGTAGGGATGCTAAAACTGGCTTTCTCCCCAGGGGAGATTCTAACTTTAAAAGGACTTTCCAGTGTGCTTAACATGCTACCACGTTGTCTTGTCAAACTGAACACAGGTAGTGTTCTCTTGGGTCTCTGCTGTATGCAGCCTGAACAAAGCACATGCATCTCCCACTGCCAACCATGCAGGAATTAGG